GTGCAAGGATGGTCCAGTGGTTAAGGTGCTAGACTGGAGCTTGTGAGCGAGGGTTCATTTCCCAGCTCTGTCACAGACCCCCTGTGGGATCTTGGGTACGTCACTGAGGGCTCAGCGACATGGGTTGAAAGCCCCACGCAGCTAGTGCGGAATAGCTATTCCACGCTAGTGCCCCTTTGTGGGGATTAGATTAATCTGCTCTTTCACATGAACTTCCTTGTGCATTGCCCATGTAGACAGCCCTTAGTCTCCGCGTCTCACTTCTCTAGCTGTTAAACGAGGGAGACAAATATTTTCTGGCTGGAAATTGAAGCTAGACAAATTCAGGCTAGAAATATGGTGCACATTTTTAGCAGGGGGTAATGAACCATTGGAACGATTTACCGAGGGGGGCAGTGGATTCTCCATCGCTGAACATTTTACATCAAGATGGGCTGCTTTTCTGAAAGATCTGCGCTCGTCCAACCAGGGATTTATTCGGGCCCGTGTGAAGCCGGAGGTCAGACTAGATGGTCACAGGGGTCCCATCTGGGAGTCTATGAATAGCTGTGATGCTATTCTGCTTCCACCACCCTGGTCATGTCCCCCTCCCTATACTGCATTGACTCCCTCTGTTCTATACTAACTTCATCATGTCCCCCCGGAGCTCTGCCCACCTCTCCCCCTTCACCTCTCCTGCTCCCTGCATTCTGCCTTGTCACCTCACTACCACATCTCTGCACCTCCAGCCCCTCCAGGCACTAGGCCAGTAGTAAGCTCCCTCTAACATCCCCCATGCTTCCCGCGACCCCAGCTGCCAGACCCACCTTCACTGCAAAGCGGCTTCCCCACACCATGTAGGTGTTCCCATCTCTCTCCATGCCTCTGGGGGAGGGCGCTGTGTTACGTGTGGCCCTGCTCAGCACGTGGGCTGAACGAACAATCAAACACACTGCTGATTAATACTGGAGAGGAGTCCCAAGTGCGGGCAATGGCTGGAAAGGGGTTTTCAAAGGCACTCGGCCTTGCCCTAACTTTGCTGAATCCTACAGACAGCTCCATCCCAGCATGCCTCAGTCAGGATCGCCCTCTCCAGGGCCGCCTGGCTGCAAGGCCCTGGGTTAATATGGATCCAAAATGACTTGTAACCATCCGCTCCTCCTCACACTAGCACCTCTCCCCTCCCCGCTCAGGTTACCACAGAAGCTCTCTGGTGCTAGCAAGCTGGGTGGGTGGGAGGAGGGGGCAGTGTGACCACAGAGGAAGGGCGAGACAGGGAATGGAAGCAGGACCAGGATGTGCTCTCAGAGCCAGACCCTGCCCATCCGTCCCTGTTCCCCTTCGCCATCCCTTCTCCACGCTGCAGGGCACCGGTGCCAGCTGCTCCATGCGCTATCTTGCATCTTCTCTCTTTGTTTATTGTTCCTGACTGGGGAGGGTATTCGGCCTGTTAACCACCATAAACGGAGATTAGAAGTGAGGCGACACCTATCAGAGGCTGCCACGTTTAGGGGTGGCTGGTGGCCTTGTTCTTTGTTCTTTCCCCTCGCCCCCGCTGCCCCCGCTGTTACAAGATTACAGCCTTCAGGGAGGTTCCCCCAGGCACAGCAAACTGGCCCGGGAACTGGGAGCCAGAACACTAGTTGCATGACAGTCCCGGCCCACTGATGGAGCCATCTCATTCTTGCTAGGGCTGAGAGGAACGAAATCCCTGTGCACTGGACCCAACTTGTGCCCGGATGTGCTAGGGGCACCGGGCACTGACATGTCCACATGGGCCAGGGGCACTGGGCACCAGGGAAGTGCCTGTATGGGCCAGAGGCACCAGGCACAGGCAATTTGCCCACATGGGCTGCGGGCATGGCACACTTCACATGTACCCCTGGTGTTAAGGCCCAGAAAACGATCACACTAAACCCCATAGAACCCTTTATTAATGTGACACAGACACTTCAAAACGAGTCAACCAGGGGGACAAAGGGCCCCTGCGCAGACAGCACCAGACACAAGAGCAGCCCCCCAGCCATCGATCTCGGCATCGTCAGCCAGGTGATTGGGGGGATTAACTTGGCTGGGAGCGTTGCCTTTTTCCCAGCCTCCACCAAACCCAGCGTGATGAGGTGCCTGCCCAAATCCGACAGCCGGCTGGCCAGGAGCTGTGCTGAGATGGTCTGCATCCTGCCGGCAGCTGGGAGGAAAGTGGGGATGGCAGCATCTTGCTTTGCTACCTGGAAAACTCTCATTAGTTTAGCTCACGTCACATGAATCTGGTACGGAGCTTCCTCCAAGCCTGTGCTGGATACTAACTGAGACCATAGGGGCGGGAACTGGCTAGCAACAAATTCACGGTGGGCCGGGTTCTTGCGCATTTTTATTTTTAAAGCTGTTTTTTAAAAAAGGATTCCACCTTATATACAAAAACCTGAGCCGAAGCCCTGAACCAATATTAACATCAACATCTTGACCCCTGACAGCAGCAGGCAGGGGTATCCAGGGGGCAGTGCTCACGTGGCGTGGGATGGGAGGGAGCTAAAACTGCACCGGAGGTTGGCCGCAGGAGCAGGGCTGGCCCAGGGAACAGTCCGCGACCCTCTGTGTCATCACTGAGACCTCAGTTTCCTTCCCCCATTGGATCTCTTGCTCTCTGGGCTGGAAGGTTCTGGCAGTACCACTGGGGTATTCACCTGCAATCCCCAGCAACCGATGGGCTGAGTGATGCTGGGGGAGATACAAAGTGGACCTCATCCAGTCCTCAGACAGAGATTGCAACGGCTTGTTATGATCCCCACTGAACTCCAGGCCGGAACTCTGCACCAACCCAAGAAACAGACCCAGAAAAGGCCATCCCAGGTTTTATACAAGGCCCGATGTGTGGCAGGACAGGACATCTGCAGAGGGTTCCTATTCACTGCTGTGGTGACAGAGCTGGAGATGCTCAAGCAAGCTGCTAGTTCTTTATCTTGGTACTGAGGCCAGAGCCCGGGCTATAATTAAGGAGTGCCCAGCAAAGCTCAGGGTGGGGGACACAGTGCTCCCCTACATATGGCAGCTGGGTGCAGTAACTGTCCCCTGACGTAACAGGGTTTCTCTACACAGTGCCACAGTCCAGACTACGGGGGCGTGAACCGTAGAGCACTCAAACGTGCTGCCCTCCAGCTGTCCCACGTAGACCCTGTGGCATGAAAATGGGACCTAGTTCACACTGATGTAGTCCCGTTTCAAACAGGACTACGTTCATGTGACCGAGGGACCTTTGCGTTCACGCCAGCGGGGTCTCCATGGAGCAGTTAGAGCTCAGCGCGTTAAGAGCGCTCTACAATTCACACCCACCCACCCCCGTGTGCGGACTCTGGCATCATGTAGATAAGCCCTTTGAGCATCCTAAGGGCTAATGTAAGTTGCGGTGACTGCCAATGGCCTCAAGGGGCCAGCGTGACAATAGTGGCTCAGGGGAAAGAAGGGCCATCCTAGCCATGCACCTATGAGGGCACCTGGGCGCGGAGGTGGTGTAGAACTCACGATGCCAGCTGTACACCACCTGAGAATTCTCCCTACGCTGGGTGAGTTTCCTGAGGCTGGTTATGCTAGCTGTACGCCCAGATTGCTCTGCCAGTGCACTGGGGTCTGGACCTTTGCCATGTTTATTAACCACAGGCTCCCAGGCATCTGGAACACAGTGTAGATGAGTGACAGGTGCAAGGGGCTTTGTAGCAAGAAGAGGACGAGGGTGGTGGTGGTGAGGAGAACAATGGAGGAAAACCCAGACGGCTCTGAGGTGTGCAGGACTCCACTGAGGCAGAGAAATGGGAAACAACCACGCTCACTCTCTTTGGAAAACCACAACCTTTACAGCGTCTTCATGGAGCCTGCATTTCCCCACACCTGCCACTGTGTGTGCTGTCCCCGCACATCCAGGGGGTGAAATCCCACCTTGGTCACCAGGCTGGTCACGTACAAACTCGATGCTGCAATAGCTGTTTTCATTGTCACTGACCAGTTCAATTCTCAGTTCTGCGCGCTGTACCAAGGGCGATGCTGTAACTTCAAACACTCCTTCCCTTGCATTTTTATCCTCCTCCACTTATTGGCTCATGTCACACGCTGCAGTAGAAGAACTACCGGTAGCTCCTGAAGCCTCCAGTAGGACATGCTCTGTGACTAGGACCAATATGGGCAATAAGAGGTGCCCAATGGAACCAGCATGACCAGCAGGAAACTCACAGAGTATTGTGGAGAGTGTCATTGCACCACACCTGGCCAGGATGGTCCATCCCAGCCTTGCACCACCTTTGTAATAACCCCATTCTGAATTTGCTTGGTCACACGAATCTCAGATCCCCTCCTCCCCGCCAGCCTCAATAGGTTATGCTGCCCAGATATTAAACCCCAACACCGCTACAAATACTCTTATGCGCAGCTTGTTCTCCTTACAGTTCATACTGCTCCTACGGAAGGACACATCTGCAGACCAGATGCGGAAATCTCTCAGCATTTAAAGACCTCTTAAGTCAAGAATGAGCTAGCTCTGGGAGTACCTGCAGTCACCCTTCCTCCCTGGCTCACCCCAAACCCAGGTTATTTCTTGCCATTCGCATTCCACATGGAGAATTATTCTTGAGGCGCCGTGGAAGGGCGGGATGACTCTGTTGCCTAGTGGGTTTAGGAGCGGAACTGTCACCTCTGGAACCCGCTTCAGCCTTTGGCTTGGAGCCCAATAAAATAAATGTGGCCGAAGGTGGGCGGGTGGTCTCGGCCTAGCTCCTGCTGGACGTTTGGCCACTTTACAAATCAATCCCTATGCACCCGAACCCAGTTGTCAGCTGTTCATATATGGAGATATACCTATCTCCTAGAACTGGAAGGGACCCTGAAAGGTCATCAAGTCCAGCCTCCTGCCTTCACTAACAGGACCAAGTACTGATTTTTGCCCCAGATCCCTACGTGGCCCTCTCAAGGATTGAACTCACAACCCTGGGTTCAGCAGGCCAATGCTCAAACCACTGAGCTATCCCTCCGTTCAGAAGACATGCAGGACTGGAATAGCATTGGCAGAGCTGTGTGTAGGGAGCCTGGGACTACAACAGTGGGTGCTACAGATGAGGACAAAGGTATGTTAGCGGAGTTCCCGCTCCTAGCCCAGTACTAAGAGCCTGTTGTTTAAAGGAGGACCAAATTCACCCAGTTTAAAACAACCACCTTTCCTGGAACGGTGCTTACTCCACCTCCCACTTTGATGCCTCAGGCTTACAAAAACGCACTTGCTCCAGAGAAACTTCCTAGCTTGTCCCCATGTTGCCTCCCCACTTCTGTTCCCCCACCAGGCACCAGCTGAGTGTCTTCTCTTGGCTAATCTCTTCAGTCCTGTCTCCTGTGTGCTCCTCACCCCTACAGAACGGCTTCAGCTGCTTCTCTCCCTTCTGCCCCTGGATGGATGTGGGGAATGCCAGAGACTGATTCAGAAGCTTGTTTCAGGCAGTTCATTGATCTAGTGTTTAGTCCAGTCTTGTTTGAATAGCCCCATTCCGCCTGATGTGCCGAGGGGAAGTCATTCCTGACCAGTCTCCTGAACCTGCAGCCAGGAGCCCAACCTATTCCCCTCCTGCCACTGACATTTCCTAGGCCCCATTGTCTCCTCCCATCCCCCAAATGCCCCCTCTTGCATTTGATTATAAATATTTGAGGCCCGATCAGTGTTTCTTTCCTACCACAGAGTAACAGTAACTAACCTATTGTTTTTATACATAGAACTGAGTCCATGACACCGCCACAGAGGGGTCATCGGCCATCAAAAATATCCTCCAGATAGAGAGGAAGTGGCTTCGTAGGCTCAGCCCTTACAGCATCATGTCTTTGTGAAGCCTCCAGAGCTCCCCACCTGCTTCCACTCCGCCGCACGGCACATCTAGCTGTGTCTTGCTATCTGCTGGTCTTAAGGCATGAATTCTTCTTTGATAGTCATTGGGGAAGAGGAGACCAGGTTGGTGGTGCTGCTGCAGATGCCGCCGATGGGACCCGGGGTGCCAACGGCCGGCGGGGTGGGAGTGGTGGTGCTTGTGGGTTGCGTCTGCTGCTGCATCTTCTTCTTGTTCACCTTCCTCTCCTTGGCTCTCCGGTTCTGGAACCAGATTTTCACCTGTGGAGACGAGATGAGAGAGACGGACAGGCATGGGGAGGGGGGAGAGAAACAGGGAAAGGAGCAGCAGGAGAGAAGCAGGCAGTATGAAATATGGCAGTGAGTGAGGCCAGGGACAGAGGAGGAGTGAGCATTTGGGAGGGAAAGAGCGTGTGAGGTAATGGGGACGGGAGGGTTGGAGGGAGTCAGTGAAAGGAGTCAGTCCTGGGCCGGGTTAGTTTTTCTGTCTTCACTATTGTTCCTCGGGCACACACAGGATGGAGCGACTTTGCTACAGGGGGCGCCAGGGGATAGGGTGACCATGTGGGACACTGCGCAGGGCTAGCCTGAGCCCCTCCCTCCCACTCCATGTGGGGCTGGCATCGCCATTCTCCACCCCACTTCCCCCCGGCACGCTCCTCCACACCCCGCTTTTTTGACAAAAAGTTGGGACGGCCAGGACAGGGTTTAACAAAGGGATTGTCCCAGCCAAAGTGGGACGTATGGTCACCCTAGGTCGGAAGGAACAAGGAGCCGTGGTGTGGGGGTTGGCGGGGAAGTCTTCGTTTTATGAGCCGCCTTGCCGCTTTGGGCCTGTGCCCGAACACGAGCCGCCCACCCCCTCAGAGCGCCCCTGATTCCTAACCTCGCTTCCCGTCTCCTCCGTAGCTTTCTCATTTCCCCTACAGCTTTCCCAGCTCCCTCTGCTGTTTTATAGGGTCACCCTAGGAGTGGGGCGGGGGTTTCAAAAGCTCTCCACATTGGCCGAACTGTGCACTCGGGAGTTTTACTGCTGACTTCAATGGGTGCAGTTAGCCTAATATCCAAGGCTGCCTGCCTCACGGGACATACCACGGGACAACGCAGGCACCACGTCTCCCCGCCTGTCCGCTTCCGCCCCGTCTCAGCTGCCAGGGATGGGGTTGGCTGGAGGAGCCCTTTGCCACTGGCAGTGGTTGGATTGTTACCCATCCTCCTCCCATTGACTGTTGCTGATGGGGCAAGAGGGAGAATACCCCCCCTCGGGGTCCGGTCCAGCCCGGCCCACTGAGTCGTGACTAGTTCAGCACTGACCTGCCGTTCGGTGAGCCCGAGCGTTGCCGCCAGCTCCGCTTTCCGCCGGATGGTGATGTAGCGGCTGTAGTGGAACTCCTTCTCCAGCTCCAGGCGCTGGTGGTCCGTATACACCACCCGGTACTTGTCTTTTGTTCTGGTCTTGCCTAGTGGAGACAGCAGAGAGGACCATGTCCAGTGACTGTTGTGGGGACTCGGAGTTCCAGATGGCAAGGGATGCGTGTGAGGGCATTACCCTCGGCGTAGTTCCCAATGACCTGCCAGCTAGCCACAATGCCATGGCCTGGATCGTTTGGTACCACTGCAATACCCTGATAACCAGAGGGTAGGGGAGACATCAAGCCCTTTTGGAAGGGATGCTGAAATACTCTGCCCAGCAATTGCCCAAGTCATTCCACCAGAGAGCCCCACAGACTCCTACCGTCGCTGGAAGAAGAGAGCTGGCTGGGGCGGCCAAGAGAGAAATGACACCGTAGACTGAGGAGGAAGCTGTGCTGTATCTAATTGCACCCGAGGAAGAGACGAGACACACGTTATGGCACCAGAGAGAGACAGAGCGCCAGAGGCAGGTGTTGGAAGGCAACGATGGACACTGGCTAGGAAATGTAGAATGAACTGGCTTTAAATGAAGCCTGAGAATGCAGAGGAAACCAAAGTCCCTTGGCCATAAAACTCCAAACCCAAGCTATTGGAAGAACGTCAGGTTTGATCGTTTTAAGATGCATACGCTAGAAGCCGGGGAGGGAAAGCGTAGAGGAGTCTAGGGGATGGGGCAGTAGACTGGGAATCAGGAGACCCGCACTCTGTTCTTCTCTCTTCCACTGACCTGCTGTGTGCCCTTGGGCAAGTCATCTTTCCCCGCTCAAGGACTGGGTTTCCCCTCTCACCCTTTGTCAGTCTTGTCTACAGAGCTGGTAAGAGCTTCAGGGCCAGGGCTGTTTCTCGCTATGTGTCTGTACAGCGCCCTGCACAATGGGACCCTGCACTTGGTTGGGCCTCCGGGCACTTCTGCAACCCGCTCAAGAACTAATAACAGGGAAAGAAAAGATACCAGCAGAGCTAAAGATTTTCCCCAGGGAATAGCAGCAGCGTTGCAGATGGGAACAGCAGCTGTCACAGCAGTAGCCCCAATGAGTGTACTGCCAGCGGTTCAGGGCCAGTTCGAGGGGTGGGCGAGCAGGGTGGTTTCTGGGTGCCAACTTCCAGGGGCAACATGTTCCTGTGCCCCTTGACTTTCCCCCCTTTCTCTGCTGCATTGGCCGACCTGGTTTTGCCCCATTGCTTGGCCAGCCGGAGTGGGTTTGTTTGATTTTTCCCCCTCCACTGCTGAGGCGGGGGCGAAAACGTTTTCCATCCTGGCTGGCAAAAGGGCTAGGGCCGCTCCTGCAGCTGCAGGCAAAGAAACCTAAAGTTCAAGCTCTGTTCCTGGATACCTACCCGGGACTTCTAGCGAGTGACCCCAGCAGGCAGTGTACCTAAGGATGGAAGGAAGCCCTGAATTGCTCACCATGGCCCCGAAGGAATAATGAAATATGCTATGAACACACGCGTGTCACTGCCCTTGGGACAGGGCAGTGCCGCTTTTTCAAAGGTCAGCACCTAAGTTGTGGCTGCAGATGTGGGTTTTGTGCACAAAGCAGATGCAAGGGCATATTTTGCAGGTGCAGCTTAGCTGTCTACCTTTGACCAGTGTTTAGTTAGACAAAGCGTAGGGCAAGTTACTTGTTTGTTCGTTGAGTGAGTTAAATATGTTCTTTGGGGATATTTGTTGTGAATCTCTGCATTTGTTCACAAACATTTTTTTCTGTTACTCCATTGGGCCCCTTGGTTTCAATCAGGAGTTCAATAGGGCTCTTTGTAAGCAGCGGATTTGATGTGAATGTGTCGATACATTTCACATATAACACTGGAAAGGAAACTGAACTGTTCTTCGGATCCATCACATGGTAAGCATGTTACGTGAAAATTGATTTTCTTTAGAGATGGCTACTAGGCAGTAATAGAATGATGTCTAAAATATCTAGAGTCTATATACTAGAAATGATGATGATGATGATGATTAATAATAAAAGACAAAGCAGAGATGGAGCCCCTAGACCCCAAACTCCACAACTGGACCCCACACATTGCTTTTCAGCCCCAGCCATAAGTAATTTAATCCCTCTGTATAACTATTTTCTCCTAAATGAAAAAATAAAAGTAAAAGATGATACACGGGTCTCCTGCATTAGCTCATTCAGTGTGGGACAAATATTTAGGGATAATATGCAAACCAAAAGATAAAGGGTTAACGAAAATATACAGTAAGAGAGAGGGCTCTGTCTAGGAGATCCTGTGGGATTTTGCAAAGTAAGACCTAACTCTAACCACACAACAGGATAATGGGATGTATGCGTCAAAGACCAGAGGTCGGTCATCCATTTTGCTGATCCACAAAGGTTTTGTCCGACAATTGTAAGAGTCCAAAATGTAGCCTATTGGCTTGGTTAGCATTAAATACAAATGTCTGCTGAGCAATCCACATTGCTACCAAACAGAAGTCTAACTGCAGCCGAACATTCAGCTCCGCAATACCACGGGGCTGCCTGAAGACAAATGAGTCATGCACAACCGCGTCCTTGTGTACAGACAAGCAGTGAGTCAGAAATACAGCAAATAGATACAACATAGGCCTTTGATGGTCCCACCATCTCACTTCTTACATCCCTGGATTAGTGGCCAGAGGTCCTTTCTTTCAAGACGTTTTAAGGAAGAACTGGATATACCCACATCATCAAGTTTACTAGTAAGAATGTCGTGATTTTCACTACCAAATACCCAAGAGGGAGGGCAACAAACACAGCCATGAAAATTTGTTTCATATCCAGAAATCAATAAATTCTGTTCCAAAATGGCAGGCGGGCCATGATGGTGTTTTCAGCTGCATATTCAACATCCTCCTGCCTGGGAATCAGTCCATTTGTCTGCTTGGAAAACACAGGACAACAGATGTAGATGCCTGTCTTTTCCTAAACTTTTGCCAAAGAGACTGGAGCGGTACCAGGGAACAGTGGGTGCAAATGCAGAGCAGCTCAATGAATTTCAATTGAATTGCTCCGGATTTACGTCAGTGTCACTGAAAACAGGGTTTGGCCATGTAATTTTTGACCTACAGAGGTTCTCCAGAGCTTGACACAGCAATAACGAAGAGATTTCCAAAATTCAAGAAGGCGATGGGCCAAAATCTGCTCAGTTGCACTGATGTAAATCTGGAGTAAGAGAGGGCAGGTCTATGTTCGAGACAGCTCATGCTGCATGGTGATTGGTGGGGCCAAAGCATGGAAAGCCTTTTCCATTCAGAGGACAGGATTGTCCTCTGTATATTGTCACCTCCCTCTTTTTTAATTTGGAAAAGCATGTGAGTGTATTAAATATGTTGTTGGAGTGTCAGTGTAACACTGTAGCAGTGAAAGGAAACATGAAGCCATTCCAAACTAAGAAAAGTGTCAGCAATAGATTACATAAATCAGCACAACCAGTCCCCCACAAACAGCTACTAGATACTTTTCTTGGATCAGTTTAATCAGGAGGACACCCCTGCATGGCACAAAGCAGATACTGCCCTTCTGAAGATTCCCTCTGCACATCTGTGAGTGGCATAAAGAAAATGTAGTGCTTTCTAGCATCCCGTCCTGGGACAGGGGACCTGGCCAGGGGGAAAAGGGCATGATAAGGGATGTGAGAAGCTCACTGGAATCTCTAAAGAGGGGAGTTATTTGCTTTAGTTTTGTTTGTCTTTATCCTTCTTTAATAAAACAAATGTCCCTTTCTTCTGATACTGGAAGATTCTTGTATGGCTTGTTGACTCCATCCCTCTATGGTGATGGCCATCGGTCACGCTTGGTAAGACTGGCATAGTGAAAAGGAATCTGGGAGCTACGTACGATGCTGTGTATACCGCTGCTGTGGAAAGTCCAGGCCTGGATACCAACATCCATTCCTACAGAGCAGGACAAGGTAACGGGATACAAAGCCTTTCACTTCAAGTTCTCTGGTTCACATCTAGCCTAAGACACTAACGTTGCCTTGCTCTAGAGCAGGGATCCTCACACCTCAGTAATTCAGGAGCCAAATTAGCACTCAACGTTACCCCAAAGAGCCACAGTCGTGTGAATTCACTGTTCCGTTTCCTAGAGTCCTATCGATTCACATGTAAGCAGTATGCCAGGGGAAATGTTTAGTATAACCCAGTAGAAGCATCCTGATTGGTTAATAACTGAGATTGGCTAATAAATGACCCGGTGTTTTAATATCATGGGCTGCAAACAGCTGCAGGAGACACATTAAAGAACCACTTGCAACTCAGGAGCCTCAGCCTGACGATAACATATTGTTATATTGTCAGACAATTCTAGGTGTCCCAAATGTTGCAGAGCTCCCCTAGGTGAAATAAATGGTGCCTGGTGGACCGGTATCAACGCCACCACGAAGCATGGGCAGCGTGGTATTCTCACGGGCATGGAGACGGGCCTGTCCACTCACCCAGGAGGGGTTCCTCCAGGAGAAGACTGGGCCCCATTGGCAGATAGTGGAGGAGAAGCTTGAATTGCTTCTGGAGCCTTTCCACGGCACTACTCAGGCCCTGCTCCTCACGTCCCTGTGCCCACTGTCCCCTGACCCTTTGGGGGCCTGGTATTTGCCCAGTCTGCAACACCATCTTCGGAGAGCTAGAAATACAAACATACAGCCTGCTTGGCTGCAAGTCTATTTACTATGCCCAACACCGTGGTATCTGAACGCCAGTTAAAAACATCCATTGCTCACGTGGAAATGTCCTAGAGGATCTGCTGTGGGACAGACTGATTTCTCTTATTATTAATACCAGCAACCAAAGAAGACTTGGCCAAATTCCTTTTGGCCAAAGGGAATTTAACCTGGCCCGAAGCTGGAGAATTAGCAGCAGCAGCAATGGAAGCAGTCGTGAAAAAGGTGCCAGATTTGCACGCAGAGGGCAGGGACAATCCCACCGACTCAGTGAGCAAAATGCAAAGCCAGTGGCAAGGGACTGAAAAGGTTCCACTGTGAGGTGCTCATTTTGCATCAGTTTGGGAATTTCAAATGTCTCCATGTCATAAATGCTTCAGGACTGGCACTTGGCCTTTTCTGG